AACAACCTAGAGTAATTGTATCTAAGAAAAAACTTTTTAAAGTATTGAGGTCAAAACGAACGCGATTTAATAGTTCAAAATAATACTTCTAGTACACTCTTTCATTTTGTGTCTACATTATTTTGCCGCCTTTGGCAGTGCATCGTCTACTTGACCAAATTGATTATGTGGGGAGGACAAGAGCCTGAAGAATTCATAGAGAGGCTTCTACTTCCAAGTTCAGGAGTGCTACATTCTGGGGATTGCTTGCTGTTGGGAGGATAAGGTGATGCACTTATTACCCTGGATTTTCGAGAACACGATAAGCTTTGATGGGAAACCAGAAAAGCAATCAACTACTTGAATAAATGAAAACAAGCACCAAATTACCTCTCCTTGCGCTTCTCCAAGAATCGAGCCAATGATGCCTTGCGTGCCTGAGGCACAGCTGCAAATGAGAAATGTCGAAATTATTATACTGACATAATGTAGGAGTGAAAAAGTTGGTCAATGATCTTTGTGATTAGCAATTCAGTTAGGAAAGCACGAGAATATACCTGATGGAACGAGGGAGGCAGGAAAAGATCCTATGGAACTGGCAACTTTGGAAGGCTCTGCTTTAAGAGAAGGAGATGGAAGAACTCCTATTGATTTGATAATAGTTACTCCATTTGTATTTCTAGACACTCTGGCAGATTGCGTGCCACCATGGGATGTTATAGAAATGGGGCTGGCAAGTGTAGGTGTTGTATTACGGCACTGATTTACAACAAAAGGGTCAATGGCCAAGGACTTAGGTATAGGCGCCTGAACTGGAGAAAGAGTAGATGTTGCATTTGGTGCAACAGGTGGTGCATTTCCAGCAAGTAACATAATAGCTTGAGCCTAATCCAAAAGCAGAGAATTAATTGCTAAGATATTCGACATAAGATAGATTGATGAGACCAACGAGAACCTAAAGTTCTAGAGCATTTACCTTCTCTGGTGAAACATTGTCATAAACACAGACAGAACCACCATAAAAGATGGTCAACTGGGCAGGACCTGGGGGAGTCTTGGGAGCACCCCTGCCAATAACGATCCACAACAAACTCAGTGTCTCCCTTCAGTACAAGTTTTCTCAATAGACATTTTATATCAATGTTAGCTAACATACCTTAAATCAGTGGTGCCCACAACAGTGCTGCTAGAGGGAATAGCTGAAATGGGGCTAGCAACCAGAGCTCCCGCACCAGGGAGTTGATTTACAGTAGTTATCAGATTCTGTCCAACAGGTGAAATAAAAGACTTATGACCAGGCATAGTCATAGATACAGAAATCTGATTAGTTGGGCTCGCAAGTGGGAGCACTCTGACTCCGTGAGATCGATGCACAGAGTGTGCATCATAGTGATGAGGAGAGAAAGTTGTCGTTGTGTAGTGTGTTCCACCTTGTCTTTCAAGCATCATATTTTTCTGACATTTAGATGAACAACTAATGAAAAGCAAGTAAATTGGGAAGGTACTCATACAAGATCTCTGGTATGATAAAAGTAAAAAGGTCACGAAGATCCATAACAAACCTGTGTGACATCAGAGTATGTCCGATGGCTTGAATCGACAGCTTCAGTTGTGGTTATAGTCACCAATCCAGTTGATGCAAGAGAATCAAAACCAATTTTCGGTTTATCCTCTGGAGCACTCTTGAAAGAGAGGTATTGAGGATGAGCAGTGACGTTGTTCGAAAATGACCACTGCATCGCTGAACTTCTTAAAGGTGCTGCAAAATCACAAGACAAGAGAAGAAGAAGATACCATCTCAGTTGCATGCAACATTATATTTACTTACAAGCTTCTGATGTATAAGAAATACCTAATTCAACTTTTCAACTCGACGAATACACGAATGCAATTAACTACTTACCTAATTAATAAACAACTCTTCGGTAAAAATATTGCTGAAGTATAAATTCAGAAAAGAAAGACAAAACGCCGACCCACGAATCTATATATTGTCATAACACTCTATGCTTTTACCAAGACCTTCTTTTTCCCTTAAAATAAGACAATATGATCAAATAAATAATTCAAAAGTGCTTCACCAGTGCAGCTGAAAAAGGGGGGTGAACATGTTCTTGCCTTCAAGGTATTTAAATACAGGCTGCTAAGCTTCTCATGTGCTATATAATAGTATACAATATTGTATTTACCAATGCAAGTAGAAGTAAAGAACATGGAAAACCATACCAGTTGGGATTTCTTTAATAATACTACCTTATTCTAATGGGAGAGGAAAAGTAATTTATTCATGTTTTTGGTACTATCCCACCATAATTTAATCATGAAAGAAGATGACTTGTGGGGTTTCACAACTCATCTAAATTAAAAAAATTATTCTTCATAAAATAAACTAATCCAGCTCACACAATGCATTCAAAAAGGTGCATGGACTACGCTAAACAAATCACAGCCTACCACAAATGTTCCATCTTATTAAAAAAAATTCAAACCTTACATAAATTGTTCCCTTTTTTTTTTTTTAATTTCCCCATTTGAAGTATTCCCACTAAACGTGGACCACACTACCTTTGCTCTCTGCACTAAAACACACCCTACCTATCAGTTCTTTTTTTTTTTTACATGAATTATTACCATCTACGAATTAAAAATGTTGATAGTTAAGATATGAAACCCGCGAAAAAAATGATAGTTCAGGTGTAAACCTACAATAAAGCGATATAAAAAAGTCTACTTTGATGGGGAAAAAAAATACCCTTTCTCTGTTTGGGGTTTCAGAAAACAGGTTAAATTTCAAGAACCGAAACTAAAATCTCGAATTTTCTCAGTTAGATTGAGACCCAATTCGATTCTTGAACACCTATATGAGTTTCAATACTATTTAGCTGATTTACAGAAGAAATATTCTATAGAAACACGTACAAACTGGAAAAACATGAAGTTATAAAAAACAATATGGTTACCTGGATCTATAGGTTCTTCAAGAACTTCTTGCTTCACAGTCAACCCCATGAAATCTCTCTCCATTTTTCTTCAGTTTGAACTTGAGGAATTTGAGAAGATTGTTAATAGCTCTGTTTTTGCTTTTCCTCTCTCTCTCTGCTTCAAAAACTTGTTGTTTGTTTATTGTGAAAGGAGAAATGTGAGGGAAATAGAATAAGAAGGTTTTAAATGAAGTCACACCTTTTGTTTTTTTATTTATCAGATAACATCACTGCCGTTGATTCCTTCGAGATTACCCTCACTTTATTTTCCCCTAACTTTTAACCGCTAATCTTCCCGTGCTAAATGTTGATTACTCCAAAAAAGTTAAATTCAAATATTCACTTAAGATTAGGACGAAAGGTTAGTAGATACTATTAGATAATATCGACGTCTTATCTTATTATTTGTTTATAGTAATAATTGTAGTATTATTTTTATGATTTTAAATCTTTGATTTCTATTATTATGTGTTTATGCCTTGTAGTTCGACTACTGTTATAGTTATTACTATCTTTATTCCATACTGATTGATATTTTTTATTTTACATGATGTTTAAAAGATTATAAATAAAATAATCAATTTTATTAGCATCAAGACAATTCGTGAAAAGTAGGTTTAATAGCATATGATAAAATAATTAATGATTTCTTTTTTTAAAAAATTGGAACTTTTAAATTTGTTTAAACTTCCAACGAGAATTAATTATAGAGGTAAAATAAGAATAATTTAATTATTTTTATCTTAATTTAGCAATCATTTGGTAGAGTGTATTAGCAAAAATAATGTTTACATTAGTTATACACTCTATTGTGTATAGAGGAGTGTATTATTAATATCATGTATTTATAGGTTAGTGATGCAAGAGATTTAATACATGCATTATCATGATTAAGGACCCAATTACCCTCAAAAGCACTTTTATATCTTTTCCACCATAATTGTGAAATATACTTTTATAAATAAATATTTTTATACAATGCATATTATTTTTTATTCACCAAACCAAACAATGCATAAGAAATATTCTATGCATAATTAATGTAAGTATATAACTAAAATACAAGTATTACTAATACACTCTATTGAGCATTATTTTTAGATACTTTACCAAACGACGTTAAGTGGACAAATAATTTAGGACATCTATTTTTAATAAAATGATTAACTAATATAAGACACGGAAAATATCTACTCATTGTTTTTGTTCCTATTATTCTATTAGTTTTTGTAGTTCTATTATTTTATAGGGATAAGGGTCTGAAAAATACCTCAATTTTGGTCGGATTTGTTGTTGCGATACTAAACTTTCATGAGGACCTATTACCTCCCTAGACTATTTAATACCGTATTTTTACCCCCTAAACTATTTAACAGTGTATTTTAAAGGTATATATGTGCTCACGTGGACACATTACTATTTATAATTTTGTATTATTTTTTATGTCCACGTGGGCAAATATATATGTTAAAATTCTGTATTAAATAGTCTAGGAAGATAATAGGTTCTCATAAAAGTTTAGTATCGCAACAGTAAATTCGACCAAAATTATGATATTTTTCATATCCTTATCCCTATTTTATATTCTGAATTACTTTTGTCTATTTTTTTCTTAAAATAATGGTCTAATGAAAACAGATTTCTGCTTCTGAAACAAAAATAAGATGTCCTATTTTATTACTATTTCTTTTGTATCAATTTATGTGACACATTTCATTTTTCAACAGTCAAGTAGTTTAAATTTGATCAAGAATTTATGCATAAATTTTTTAATTTCTTAAATAAAATTTATATATTTATAAATTACGCAAAAAGTACTATATATAAACCACAATAATTAATAATATAAAATATTTTAAAAATATATGAAAAATTGATATTCAAATATAAATTTATTTGAATCTTAAAATTTTAAATGTGTCACATTAATTGAAACGAAAGAAATAATATTTACTTTGAGAAGTAACCTTAACCCCTCTGTCATTAAAATCACGTTGTCCAATGGCAGCACGAGAGAGAGTCCTACAACGACACGTATCAAAACACGTGAAGTATTCATGTAACGTACCATTTATAATAATTAATAATTAATTAATGTTTACATCTTTGAGCAGCGTGGATCGTACAGTTTCTCGGTAACAGCTGTCTCTCGCTACAAAACACCAACGCACCACGTGGCACCATCCTATACGGCCTTCTTCTTAAAATTATTATTATAATTTATTTTTTCAACCAAAAAAAAGAAAGAAGGGTTTCCTTGAATGATCGCATTTTATTTATTTTTGGTTGTTGAATATTTCAATCCATTAAAAAAAAAAAAAGGCAATGTCATTGAATACTATCATCAATAAGTTTATTTAATTATAATATTATTAAAAGGGAAAAAGAAAGGAAGTAAGGAATCTTGAAAATTTTGAATTCAAACGAGATCCATGAATTTTGAATTCATCGAAGCACATGAAAAAGGACAATATTTTTATTTAATATAATATAATAAAAGTATTAAAATAATAAGATAATACAAAAGGAGAAATCATCATATATTTTAAGAATAAACTCACATGACAACGTGACCACTAACTAACAGAAAAATATTTTAGATATCATACACGCCACCCATGACTTAATTTTGCTTTAAACTCATTCATGCTAAGAAGATATTAGAAGATTCGATTTTTATAACAATTTAGAAATACATATTATATTAGTAAATAATATAAATAAAAGAAATGATAAGTCATTATATTAAATTAAAATAAAAAAGATAAGTCTAACCCCATATAATATTAACGAATAATTTAAGAATATGACTTACCGGATGTGCTGAATCTGTTCTAAAATAGAAAGAGTTTTATATAAATCGGAAATTATTATTTTGAGTTTTTGACAAATCACGGTTGCACTTATTATTGCGTATTGTATTGTATCGTATCGTATTATTTATTATTATTATACGATGATAAAATTTAATTTTATATAGTGAATAATTTGATATGATTATATCACTATCTTTACTTATTAATTAATAAGTTTATTTCATTATTTATTTACCTTTTTATAATTTTTGCAGTAAGCACATTAAAAAAATTAATGATGTTATTATAGGGCAAGTGATTATTCATAAATCTAGACTAGAGGTAGCATCTATTAAGTCGATATTGATTTCCAGTGATTCAATTTATTAAAATTATAAACATTCATGTAAGAGTTTAATAATTTTCATTAGACTTTATGACTATAAAAACTATATGAAATGTCTTCAATTTTTTTTAATGCAACTAATGGAATTTCCTATCTATCTATTCTCAATAATGGGACATATTTTAATAATAAATTGATTCTCATAGCAATATTAGCTTCTTATTCTTTTTATTTTAATGAAAAAAATCATGGCAATATTAGTTAAGATGCTTTAGGTGGCGACACAATTATCTGAGGATTGAAACTTTTTAACTTTGGGAAGCAACAATCAATTATGTCTTTTCTATTGTTAATTTTTTTAAAGTTTTTTTTTTTTTTTGTATAAAATAAAAATCTCTTTTAAAAAAAACTACAATACTAAAAAGGAAAAATTGTATATAATAACAAACTATTAATTTAAATTAAATGCTATAACTATAGTTTACTTTATTTCCAATTCGCAACTACTGTTTCATAAAATTTGCTATAGCAATTTCTCCGAGCGATATTTTCTACTCAATCGAATGCATAGTAAAACTGGCAGGATTCATAGAGTATACAAGAAAATGGCGGTCTGCTCCAGGCATATAGTTGTATATAAAAAATAAAATTTAATTTTTTTCATGAATTTTCATATGCATATATAGATTCAACTAATATAAATTTTTATTTAAATACATATTACACATATATACATATACAACTGAAAAGCACAACAAAAAGAACATATACTAATACAAATTACAGCGAGAGAGAAAAAAAATTGATATACAAATATTTTATTTCGATTCAATTATATGCAAATTCAAATTTATGCAGATATACAAACACATAAAATTGAATTGAGAAGCTGCCAACGATTTATACAAATGAGAGACTGCCAACGATTTTATACAAATCTGATGCCACCAACGATTTATACAATCTGATGTTCCATAACAAATATAAAGTTTGCTATAGAGCGCAATTATGCAAAGTATAGCTATAGCGTACAAATATGATTTTTATGTTTGATAAATGTGAAATAAGACTTTATAGCTATAGTTTTGATAATTACTCTTTATTGGGATAGTTACGTTTGCTATGGAGATTGCAGTTTGTATATTTCACTTGCAAATATACAAACAAGGTAAGTACATGCAAGTTGTGTATAAACATTTAGAAATTTTAATCTACGTCTTCATCGTAATACCTCATATATTTCTTCCGTTAATTTATTTGTCCTACTTTATTTTTTAGTCTGCCAGAAAAAAATGATTGCTTTTTTTGGTTAATTTTTTATTTTAACTTTTCATATAAATATTTAAGTCCATAAAATTAGAGAATATTATAGTATATATGATATATTTTCTTATTTAAAATCACAAAATTTAAAAGACTTTACTTTTTATGTTCTATGTCAAGCTAAAACAAGACAAACAAATCGCCATCATAATTTTTTATTGCAAACTATATTGCATTGAAGGCATGTGAAAGGTAGTTTAATACTTTTTTTAATTAATATATATATAAATACGATGCTACTGTGTGATGGGCCCGCACTCACAGATCCCACCATTCGTGGGCCTAAATTTGAGCCCATACGTCATTTCCTGCGTAGTTGATAGCAAGTGTTTACTGTTTAGGCCCCTAATTATCCTAATTTTTTAATTATTCCGTACTTTTAAATTTAATAACTACTCAATTTATTAAAAAAATTATATGAAGAGTTCCACTTTTCAACGCCGCACATGGAAGTGTAATTTATTTTTTTATGTCGAAATTAATTTTATAAATTAGTATTGATATATCTACATTGTTGATGTTTTTTTTTGTTGAAATATAGCATGTCCTTAAAGTTGTACAAAAAACTATGAATTAAATAATATGTGTATTTGAATAATAAGGAAATCAAAATTTTAGTTACATGAAATAGGAAACTGAAGA